AGAGAATAGGAGGGTTTGGAGGAGGAATGAGTGAAGCAGGTGGGCGTTCCAGAGCTTCAGAAAGGCAGGAAGTGGGTGCACTGGTGCATGCCCTCACAGATGGATCCCTGTGTATGCTCAGCTCCCCAACCTGGCTGCAGCAGCCACTGTGTATGCAAAAGTCCAGGGCTCCAGTGCCCTGATGCTCCTGGGAACTGAGTGCAGGTACAGAAAGATATGGCGAGTCCTCTTTGTGCCCTTTCAAAGGCAGGTGAAAGAAATAGGGACAAATTATCGTCCAGGATGGGAGTGGGAAGAGAGCAGACCCAGGCTGACACTTCAGGACTAAAACAGAGATCAGATTTGAAGACATACTGGTTATTCCTCCTCTTCTTTAAGGGATGGATATAGCCAGCCCTTCTTCTCTCCCCCTTCTTGAGAACTGTTCTGATGGGCCAGGAGTCATCCTGCCTAAAGCCAGAAAAGCGAGGAGTAGCCTTGTAGTCAGGTTTCCGTGCCCAGCCTGGACCCCGGCTCCCAGCCTGCTAGCCTCAGTTCAAGTCAACAAGCATCCCTTAAGGCACATCTCCACAGAAGCCTCCTCCCCAAACTCTCCACATTCCAGGACAGAGTCACCCCTCATCTGGACCCTGTCTGTGATCTGTTGGCTTTGCAATCACTCAGGTATTTATTGTCCTGTCTGGGTGCTCCCAGGAACCTCGAGCATCTTCAGGGCAGAGGTTGTATGTGACTCATTAGGTCTGAGCTCCCAGCACTGTGTCAATCTCAGAGCAGAAGTTCAGTGAGCGTGGGGTTTGCTGACCACCTACTTAGGGTCTGGCACTGGGGACACAGAGATGGAAACTACACACTGCTTACAAGTTGCTAACAGCCCAGTGAGAGGAATTTTTTTAAATACTCATGCAGGGGCTGGGGTTGTGGCTCAGGGGCAGAGCGCTCGTCTAGCACGTTCGAGGCCCTGGGATCGATCCTCAGCACCACATAAAAATAAATAAACAAGATAAAGGTGTTGTGTACAACTGAAAAATAAAATATTTAAAAAAAAATACTCATGCAAACACTGGGCCCTCTGGCAGGAAGAGTTTACTATCCTCACTATCACCAACACCAGAACAGAGTGGAACCTTTCCTGCAGGTTGGTGGCTTACCAAACAAGCATCCCTAGGGTACTACTAACAGCTACAGGTCCAGCCCTGCCAGCTCTTTAGCCTGAGCCCTGTTTAATTTCTGTGCCTCTTATTCTTCCTGTGCCTCTGAGGTTGGCCAGACCAGCCCCAACCTGGAAAATCAGGAATGGATAATCCAACGCTCCCCTTCCCGACTCCCCACCATGACCAGCATCCGTGCTCCCAAAAGTGAGAAGCCAGGCAAAAAGGGGGACAGATTCAGGACATGGAGGGTAGAGGTCACATTTATAAACAGTCTTTATGTCTCCAGGGGTATTCGTGAGCCAAAGCCAAGCTAACGACTTCTCTAGTATCTGGGATGTGTCTGCCTTGAGAGTAAAGGGGAAGGAAAAGCGGTCAAAGTCTTGCTGCGAGACATCACTCTCCTCTTAAAGGCCCTCCAACATGTTTATATAAAGATCTACAGAAGAAAAAAAACGATTTTGAGGCTTTGTTTCCATTACCTTTCAAAGAGATATTGTTCTGGGCACAGAAGCAGAAGCTGCTGGAGAAACCAGAGAGATGCTATAAAGGGTCTCACTCCAGGGGGAAACCCAGCAGCCGAATAAAATGCTTGGAAAAGAACAATTTGGGGTTTGAAAGAAGACTGAAGCAAAATTAGCATCTCTCCCTGCCCTACTCCTTTCTTCAACCAATGCAAGCTATTCCAAGATCCTTGCTGCACATTTATCAGTTGGGCTGAAAAGAGAAGAGAGAGAGAGAGAGGTGTCTAGAAAAATCACTGGAGAAAGAATTGGGAGAACTTTGTGAAGCCGAACCTTGTTAAGAATTCAGACTTGGAAATTATAGAGATACATGGACTCAAATCCTGGTTGTGTCACCTATGAATGAGGTGGCGCTGGGAATGTTATCTAAACTCTGTTAACATTCATTTTCCCATTGATAAAATGGGTGATCTGCTTTAGAGGATCAGCTGAGGCAATGCCAGCAATCAGTACTTATTATTATTACCTGACACATTAAACCTACTCTAGACTTCGCACCATGAAAGGTGTTTCAACAGAGAGCATTTAGGAAGAAGGTTTTGGAATGAGAGGGCTTCAGTAGGTTCTCTGGAAAGCTGGGCCACACATTACCAACCCCCTGGACCAATATAGTATTCCAAGATTCCCTGCTTTCTCCTCAACCAATTCTGCTCTCCCTGCAGAAGGCTTAAGAAAGCAAAACAAGGCTCTCTCTCCTCCTTGGGGTATGGCTTATAGTCATAGCCCAACCCTAGAACATCACAAAGTTAACTCATAAATAATCTTCACTCCAGGCCTTTGCAAATGAACCTTTATAAACTTTTCAGTAAAAGGAGTCTTCTAAAGATTGTTCCTTCCTCCAAACAAGTAGAGAAGGTGTTATCCATCACTGGATGGGATACCAAAGTGAGAGAGTTCAGGTAAAAAGTGTCCTTGGCCCTACATGAAGGAGGAGTTCCCACAGAAGAGGGTTTGATGATAGAAAGACATGAAGACTTTAGTTTTTTTAATATTTGTTTTTTAGGTGTATATGGACACAACACAATGCCTTTATTTTTATGTGGTGCTGAGGATCGAACCCATGTCCTGCCTGTGCTAGGCCAGCGCTCTACCACTGACCCACAATCCCAGCCCCAAGACTTTAGTTCTTAACCCTGCCTTTTTTTTTGATACTGGGAATTGAACCTAGGTTTTTGTTTTGTTTTGTTTTAATTTTGAGACAGGTCTCACTAAATTGCTGAGGGCTTCAATAAATTTGCTGAGGCTGGCCTCAAATTTGCAATCCTTCTGCCTCAGCCTCCTCGGTTGCTGGGATTACAGGGCTGTGCCACTGTTTCTGGCTCTCAGGCCTGTTTCTGAGAAGAGTCAGAGGGGCTGAGACTTTAACTGTTCTCTTTCCTCCTCTTCCTCAAATCTTGCTTTGATGACGGTTGTTTACATTTGAGTCAAAAAATAAGCTAATAAGTTATGGTCCCCAGGTCACTTGCAGGCGAACTCCTTAGTGTTTTTTGTTGCATGCACAAATTGGTCAATAATTGAAGACAGCAAGTGGAGGAAGTAATTGAAGGCAGAAACTATTCCCTCTTAGCATTATGCCCCATGCATCATGGAGTATGCATAACCTAGAACGAAAGTGAGGTAGACTCCGATGCCTCAGGAGAGGCCCCTCTCTGGCCTTATCAAAGGCAGTACAGAGGAGAAACAGTGAGAGAGCCCTGAGGGAGATGGGGAGCTCAGGCAGACTCCCTCCCCGGCCCTACTCATCACTTCTCCTCTCTTAACCTAATATAGTCTCTCTCATTGTGCTTCTTATCCAATTTTCTAACCAGTGGCTTTGAAGTTACCTTGTAAATATTTTTCAAAGCTCATTAGGCAGCAGAACATTCCCTCTGCCCACTGAGCAAGCATTAGGCTGACATTTCTCAGGGCCTTCAGTACTCTCTACAGTCCTCCTGCGTCCTCCCCTAAGCTCAGAAAACAGGCCTCAGGCATCTGCCTGCTGCAAATACAGATCCAGCCTCTGTAGGCGGGGGTCCCGCGGGGCAGCCCTACGTGAGACAGAGACCAGAGGCAGAGCCTGCCAGATTCCTTTTAGGGTTTTCTACCTGATTAATGAACACTCCAGGAAGGCGGGAGGAGGGAGCCGAAAGGAAAATAATCATAGAAAAAAAAAATCACCACCTTGTATTTGCATATATAGTTCTTTATATTTTCCACATTTCTTGTCTTGTTTTCATATCTGTTCTCATTTCCTAAAGCTGACATAACAAAGTATCATGAACAGGAGGCTCAAAGCAACAGAGGTTTATTCTTCTGTAGCTCTGGATGGTGGCAGTTGGAAATCAAGGTACCTGCAGGGCCATTCTCCCCCGGAAGGCTCTTGCTACTGTCAGTTCATGGCTTCTTTCCTATGTGTATCTCTGTGTGGCTTTTCATTGTTGTTGTTGTTTTGTTTTGTTTTTTGGTTTTTGTACTTTGGTACCCTGGGGTGCTTGGTACTTTACCACTGAGCCACCTCCCCAACCCTTATTGTTTTTCATTTTGAGACAGGGCTGCTAAGTCACTGAGAGTCTTGCTAAATTGCTGTGGCTGGCCTCAAGCTTGCAATCCTCCTGCCTCCGTTTCTTGAGTCACTAAGATTATAGGTGTCCAACACTGAGCCAAGATTGTAAGAAAAGCAAAGCCTATTCCTTTGCTTTTCTTATAATGTGACCATCATTGGACTTAGGGCCCACCCAAATCCAGTAGGACCTCATTTTAACTAATTATATCTGCAAACACCCTATTTCTAAATAAGGCCACCTTCTAAGGTTCTGGGTGACATATATTTTGGGGTTACTGAAGCCCAATACTAGCCCAGAGGTCTTTATCTGGTATTCAGTTGTGGTCTTGAGGTCACCTTCTCCCTCCAGCTGCTCAGTGGTGGAAATTTACTCCCTGTTCCTTAATCCTATTCAAATATACTTAGTTCAGATTGCATCTTTTATTTTGGGTTTTCCCCAAATCTAGTCTTGAAACAAAGATTTGACGACACTTCGTTAATTTGGAAGGCAATTCCTAGAAGAACCAACATGGGAATGGGGAACAAGAAAGAACAGGAAGTCCACAGGGGTTTGCTGTGGGGAACAGGCTCAATTCCACTAGGCACCTCGGGAAGACTGCAGAATGAATTCAGGATTCCAACTAAGGGGAAGTTGAGGTATTTATCTTCTGACTCCTCTCTGTCACTAGTTGAAGACCTTCTCCCAGGAGGGTCTACTCCTCCACACTTCAAAACTGTACACCCAAACATGCCTTGCATTCAGAGAAATTGAGGGTGGGGGAGTTGGGGGCACTATAAGTACCGTACCTTGAATCTTCTCTGAGCTCAAGGGATTTTGCAGATGGAAATGTGTTTTTCTTGCTGAAGCTATCTGGTGGAACCCCAGAGTCTAGGCTTTTCTCTCTCATTTCCCTGATATCTAATGAGGCAGAGTCACAGTTGCCTCCAGTAAGCAGCTGGCAGGTTTTTCATGAATCCTGAGTGTTAAGGGGGTTTGGAAACAGGCACGGAGCACATCTGCCTATTACCAGGAAGAAATGCTTCTCCCTCGGGCTCACCAGCCTTCCTCTTAGTAGGTGCTCAATAAACAAGGGTTTGGATTCCATTGGCACATATCATTTGAATGAAGGAATAAAAAACAAAGATCATCCATTTGGTTGTTTAACAAAGATTTATCAAGCATTTGCCATGTTCCATGCACTGCGCTAGACCTTGAAGATTCTAGCCCTGTGCAATTTTGAGCTTAGTACAGGATTATTGCACTTAACAACCAACCAACAAACCAACAACCAACCTGACCTTCACCCATTACAGTCAG